ACCACCTACTCTCTCTCTCTCTCTCTCTCTCTCTCTCTCTCTCTCTCTTTCTCCGTATGATTTCCTGTTACTTATTTTAATTTCGATTGCAGTCAAGCACCAGCTCAGGCACCTCCAGCAGTGGTGCCTAAAGCTCCAGAAGATGCCACCAAAAGAGCAGACTGTTATGGGGTTTTCTGTGTCACTTATGACCTGATAGCTGTAAGCATTCTCCTCAAATTCAGTTTCATGAACGCCCTTTATGTTTGGAATTGAATTGCTATGGAGTACTAATCGTTCCTGAAAGCTTAGATATAAGTAGAGATTTTAAAATCTCTTTGATTAAAAAGGAATTTTCCTGCCTTTTTTTCTTAAATTGAGGAGAACCATGTGAGTGTGAGAACCTTCTAGAATAAATTTAGTTTTGTTGCTGCTTGGTAGTCTGAAAGTTTTTATTTCTAGTCAGTCTTTTCATTTCTCTTGTGGAAGAATTTGTATCACTTTCAAAGTCAATTGTGTAAATTTGCTGATTTATTGACTGTACTCAAATGACTATTATTTTGTTTGATGGTTTAGCATGAGGCCAATGTTCTTTGTGGGCAATCACCTTCTTTCCTATTTTGATTGAAGAGAAGGAAGATATCTTAAACAAGTTATTTCTTCTCATGTTACATTTCCATTCAGCCGACCCCATTTGCTTTGGAAAAGGCTTTGATGATGATGATGATGATGTTACATTTCCAGCTAGATTATTCATGTGTGCTATTTACCCCTTATTGTTTTGCCCACATAGCACCAGAATAATCCCTTAACTGCCAAAAATTTCAGAATTCCTTCTCTCTCCCTTTCTCCATTGAGATAGAGGAAGGAGGGACAACTGTTAAATTGAATGGGTTATGTCAAGGGATGGTTGTTTTCGCAAGTTACATTTTTGAGAGCACATGTATATTGTATTATTTGATATGTTGCACATCTCATTGCCTTAAATATTCTGGACTCTGTTTCAATGCTTTACATATCCTGTAATTAACGAAAGGAAATATCCTAGTACTTTACTTGATCTGCAAATTTCTACTTTTTTTTATGAGTTAACTGTTGCAAATTTCTACTTTTAGTAATGGTCATTGTTAAAGGCGCCATTAATTTATATTGCAGGAAGAGGAGACAACATCATGGAAGAAATTGATAAAGGTTGCAGTGTCTGGAGCTGCTGGAATGATATCCAATCATCTACTCTTCAAAGTAAATCACTGTTATCTATTGTGTTCTATTGAAGAAAAGTTTCTATTCCAAATTAAAATCTGATATGTTATAGATATGTAGTCATAGTTGAGCTAGAGAACATCACATGCTAACTATATAATATAAACCTTGACATTGAGCATCACTCCTAAAAGGATTGCCTATTAGTTTTATATTTTAGCTGAAGGTGCATTGCTGGATGTCTGCATTTGATTCATATGATATCAATCAGACTCTAAGTATAATACAGTTTGTAGTGCTATACAATAAAAGCAAAATAAGCTTTACCATCAACTGATATGTTTTCTCTTTGATTAGTATTCTGGGCACTTTGAACTATATTGTACCAAAAGCATGAGTGACTTGTGTTGATATGTGCATCAAAAGGGGTAAAATTGTTGTTTGAATATGTGACGATTGTAATTGTGGAATCGTAATATGATTTTGGCTTCATATTTTTTGTTATTAAGGTGTTTTCTTTTTTTGTTATTTAGGCATTCATGTCAATTTCTTATGCCTGAACGTGACTCTAAAAGTTTGCATTAGGAAAAAGGACTCTGCTTGATTTGTTTAGGGAACAAATTTTAAGGGATTGAATCTTTGACATCTGTCATCCTAAGTGGATGTTTTGCCACCAGACCAGAATCCAAGGCTCAACTTTTCCTTTTACAGATTAGCATAAACAATAAATGGAGAGGATGCCTCAAGTTGTATATCGGTGATAGAAAACTGTAATTGAGAAGGATTCCCTCCTAGCTGCTTCTTGAGCAAGGAAGCCTACCACAAGATTAGCTTCTCTAACCATGTGAGCATAAAAGATAGCGATTCCACTTCCAAATTCTAAAAGTCTCCTCCATAATGTCTCCAAGGATGCAAGCATTTATTTGTGTTTTGTCCTCCTCTATGACCAATGACCCTATAATAAATGGAAGAAAACCAATAGGACCCACAATGAGGTTATTATCCCATTCTTTTATAATGAATATTACTACTACTGGGCACCGCTGCATACTTTGTGTAAATTTTTTACTGTTGAAAGAAGTGAACTTTTAATAATGGATTTATCAACAAAATGACTAAGGTTTTCTCAATAGTATTTAAAAACGAACATCAATTCTTCAACATTTGCATCAAGCCTTCTTGTATGTTATTAAGACTTTAAGAAGGTTGTATTACTTTGAAAGGACAGCATGGCCATAGATCCACTACAGGGTGGATAACTTCTTCATAATAATATCTGAAATATCATATCCAGCAAGTTCACTTAGCCCATGAATGTTGACTGATCTACATTTGAAAACCTTCAATTACCTGTTGACCAAAATATCTACTGTGCACACTAACAATATTTTTATTTTATTTTGATTTTTTTATTTTTTTCGGGGGGTGGGTGCATCCCTTGATGGGTCTCTGTGGGTGGGGAACATGCAAGGCAGCATATAACACACATTAAGAAATTACTGTATGCTATTTTTTTTCATGTAACAGTCACTAAATAATATCTTATTAGAAGTTAGAAAAACATTTGAGGTTTCTCCTAATTGCTCTCTATCATTCTTCAATCAAGTGCATACAATCAATTCAGAGCGGTACTATATTTTCTTCAAACAATTGAGCTGCTAATAAAGAACAATAGTAATATTTGACTTACATGCAAAGTTTAACATACCGATCCATGTGCAAGATCATTAAATTGTCCTGGAATAATTTGACCTGTGAGTTTTTTTATATCCTAATACATAATTTGGATTTTGTCCTAAATGATGATACTTCATCTTGGTTCTAAGATAATACTAGTATCTATCCAATAATTGTATAATTTGAATGTTGGTATACTTTTTTCTCAGCTTGCCTCTGGTGAGGTCTTTGGGCCAGATCAGCCAGTTGCTTTGAAACTGTTGGGATCTGAGAGGTCATTCGTAGCTCTTGAAGGTAACTGATTGAAACTTCAGAATTTCAATGGCGTTCTTTTTCTTTGTAAAAAGTGCACATTTCTCCTAATAACAGTGAAAAACGAATTGTGCAAAATGATGTCTCAGGTAGTTGGAGGCCTATTCCCTATTGATATATGCCTTATGAAGTTATGAACCAAAAACATATTGCGATTGATGAATAAATGATATGCAGATGTAAATGTCTAATGAAATCAATGGTAAATATGGATGAAATGGAAATTCTAAACTTGATGGATCATGATCATTGTCAAATGAGCAGCGTTTGGTTGTGAAAACTTGGAACTCCCAACTGAATATTCGCATAAATTAATTATTTGTTGTCTTTTTTTGGTAGATGAGAAATTCCCAAAAGTACAGCCAAAGGGATTAACCCAAGAAAAATATGCAAATTTTAAAGAATGCACAAGTGACTCCTAGGATGAGAGACACAAGTCACTCCTAGGATAAGAGACACTGAATATTTCTCACACACACACATGTGCACGCATACACACACACACACGCACGCACACGAGAGAGAGAGAGAGAGAGAGAGAGAGGAAGGAAGTAGTCGTACGTAGTAGTAGTAGTAGTGTCGCTAGTAGTAAGTAAAAGTTAAAGTTAAGTAAAATTAAAAATTTAAACTTAACGTAAAGTAAAAGAAAGT